CTTAGCACAAAAGGAATTATGTAAAGCCTTGTCGGGTAGACTTGACCTACGACTCCAATCTACAGACCGTAGATTGACCTACGGCCCGTAGGTCCCGTCCGTTGATCACTCCGACAACAATTAAGTCAGGGGTCTTTTGGTCTTTTCCTATTTCATTGGACCCCTAAGCTATGTCGTTTAGACCCTAAATTATGAGGTTTTAATCAGTTTAAGCCTAGAAACATAACTAGAACTTATCTAAGTCAAATCATTCACCAAAACTTAGAGAAATTAGAACGTAAGAGGAGAAAGAAATCAAGAACCCTAGTTCAAGAACACAACAAGGTTCCATCAGTTCCAATCCCGAAATTGAAAGATTTCTCTGTGGAATTCATCACCAGGTATATGGGATTTCACTAGTGGGTTCCTTTTGCCCATTAGGTCCCTAGAACTCAGTTAGTTTCTTGATTCTCTTACTATGTATAGACCTAGGGTTTCTAGAATTTCAGCAAATTATCATGAATCACTTATGAATATGTCCCAAATCAGATTATCATGTTTGTACTCATTTTATTGCATGAATTTCAGAACCCTGGCTATGTATTTTTTTAGTTCTTGAATTACACATGCTAGGTCAGATATTTCAGTTATTCAGATATACATGCTCCAGTTTTGAACTCCACATTATCATTATATTTCAGCATAAATCCTATTTTGAGTTATAAATCTTGAGAAGCTTTTTTTAAGACTACACTTGAGTTTTAAACTGAGTTTTTGAGAAAGTTAAGATGAGTTTTGAGAAAGAGCTTTTAAAACATGATTAGTATGACAATCGAATAGTCATCAATGTATGAATAGTATGGTATCTAGATATACCATCAATGTATGAACAATATGGTAGCTAGATATACCATCAATGTTTATGCAGTATGACTTCCCAAGTCATCAATGATCATAGTATAATATAATTTTGAATTGTTTTCTAAGAAAGAGTTTTCAAGTATGAGTATTTGCATGTCAGTATTTTGAGCTATTCAGTATTTCAGTCATAGTGTATTCAGTTATACATGCCTCAGTTTATGAATGCATCATTATCAGATTAATTATTGCATTCTCAGATTGCATGTTTAGTTTTCAGCTATCCATTATATACATAAACTCAATTATAATGTGTTAACCACTTAATCTATTGGGAGTAGCATAATATCAAGTTGGACTAGGGTTCAACGTACCCATATAGTCCAAGAACTACGAGCCATGTAGGTGTAAGTCCCCTCTGTGGGAACTATCAGTTAGTGATCACGCCAGCCATTTCTTTGTACCTTTGGCCGGGTATATTGGGTCCTCTCGATGGGGCGTATATATCGGACTCCACATTTAGCTCATGTGGTTTTATTATCGGTTATTAGTAGCTCCCACAATTCAGTCAGATTCTATTGCATTGACCGTGTATCAGTATATTCAATAATCAGTCTCAACATGTTATAAATTGATCATTGCATTCAGTTAGCTCAGTATTCAATATCTATATCATGTTCAGATTATATCATTGCTTATTTGCTTTGTTCAGTTATATGTTATTTCAATTGTATTCTATCTTGCATGCTCAGTACCTTTCAAGTACTGACGCATACTCTGCGCTACATCTTCTCGTGATGTAGGTTCAGGTTCTCAGCATTCAGATCATGCTGGGATCAATTTTTTATCTCCAGTTCAGCAGAATTAGTGGTGAGTCCTCATTCTCTGAGGACAATAGTCATGAGTTTCTTTTCAGTATTTTTAGTCCTTTAGTTTCGGTTTTGCTAGACTTAGTTGGGGCCTGTCCCAACATTTCTAGTCAGTTAGAGGCTATTTTCAGACATAGTTAGATTCAACAAAGTATTGAGTTAATATTTTTTTTGTATTAAACTCATCAGTTTTCATTCATCCCAGTTATAGTATATGGGTATTCCCCATCATTTCAGACTTATTTTATGATTTAGTTTCCACATCAGTTATTATTATCTTTAGTATGCTCATGATTATGCCAGCAGGGTTAGCTTGGGGTCACTTGTGATCTTAGGACTCGTGTCCGCGTCCAGGGGATAGCCTCAAGGGGTGACATTAATATTGTTGATACATTGAGTTAATATTGTTGATATGTTAAGATAATATTGTTGAAACAGTAAATAATTTAGTCCCAACAATCAAGTAACCGATACATTCCAAAATATTGTAATACGTGGATAAATTATTTTTTTCTGAATCTGAGACAAAAAATACGCTAAATTAATTGTGTTGGTCTTTGAAAACTGTTGATACATTAATGTACATCATTTTTTGATTACTTTGAACATTAGTGTTTTATATATTATAACATGTAACTGCTATATGTATTAATATGATGAAAAAAATTATACAGCTATGTGTTAATATGCTTTTCGGATAAATGTGACTGGACTATGAAGGCTTCCTGCAAGAAAAAAATCTGATGTTTTCAAAGTTAGATACTTCAATAGTGAACATACGTGTCCATGCGGGATAGGGTACTAACCAAAGTCCAAGAAACAATCGGGTTTGTAAGTGGTGTGATTGCTCCCAAATTGGTCAACCATAAACGAATTCATACTTCGAAAGATATAATTGTTGATATTAGAGAATTTTATGGGGTTCAAATATCTTACCAGCAGGCATGACGTGCTAAAGAATGAGCATTCGAAATGATAAGGAGTAAACCATCTGCTGGATATAGACAGATGCTGAGATACATATACATGATAAATACCGTGTATCCAAATTCTTATATAAGAATGCAGAATACTGAGGAAGATGAATTTATGTATCTGTTCGTAGCCTTAAGACCATTGATTAGGGGGTTCGATTACTGCAGACCAATAGTTGTTGATGATGGTGCACATCTGGGCAAAGCTTACGAAGGGACATTTGTATCAGCAAGCACACTTGATGGGGCATGTATGTAATTTTTGTAGTTGTGAGGTGTTTGTAAATTTTATGTATCAAATGAAATAATGTGTGTTGCTCTGTAATTAGGTTGCATATTTTCATTGGCATATGGTGTTGTGGACACTGAAAATGACTGTTCGTGGACATGATTCTTCGAACAATTCAAAAATGCATTTGGCGAGCGCGAATAAATGTGTGTTGTATTAGATAGGAATGAGAGTATTATGAAAAGTGTAAGGATTGTGTTCCCAAATATACCTTATTGTGCATGCATATGGCATCTTTGGAAGAATGTTTGTGGAAACTTCAAAAGGAGCAGAAACACCCTAAGTGATCTATTCTACTCTATAGCCAAGGCATACAGAAAGGAGGATTTTGATAAATTGATGGCTAAGGTTGATAAAGTTGATCACAGGGTTAAGGAGTACCTTGAGGATGTAGGGTATGAGAAGTGATTGAGATTTCATTCAACAGTAAATAGAGGTACAATGATGACTTCGAACATTGCGGAATGTATCAATGGTTGTCTTGTTGAAGCACGACAATTGTCTATATTAGAATTCTTGGAAGAAGTTAGAATTCTTATTGGCTCTTGGCATTGCAAAAACAGAGAAATAGCCTCTTATACAAAGGACACATTGGGGAGAAGATTTGAGGCGGTATTGATTATAAACGCGTCTAAAAGTTCAAAGATGGAGGTATGTGTCATGATACATTATTTTATATTCTATGATCTAATTCTGTGTATCATTCTGCTGTTTGAACATGCTTTCTTTGAAATAATTTTATAATTGACTTTTTTAATGTACGCATGTTGTTCCATCATCTGAATTTATTTTCTTGGTTTATGAAGTTGGAAGAAGATACATTGTTTGTCTTGAGCGGAAAGTATGTTCTTGTGGAAGATTTCAACTAGATGAGATACCTTGCACACATGTAATCGCTGTTTTAAAGGAAAAGAATGTTAAAGATATGCATCCATATTGCTCTGATTACCACAAGCCTGATGCATTAGCAAAAACATATAAGATTCCAATGGTTTCAATGCCAGATAAGGAAGATTGGTCAGCTCCTAAGGATGTGGTAGCTGAAACTGTGTATCCACCTAGATACAGACGATTAGCTAGACGACCAAGGAAAAGAAGAAAAAAGAATGCAGATGAAAATATTACAATGAACACAAATTATTGTGGACAATGTGAACAAGAAGGTCAAAACAAAAGAACTTGTACTTTCTTCCCAAAAGAAAAGTGAAATCATCATAATGTTTATATGACATTAATGTATTTGTTGAATAATTTTTCACGTAAACAGTTATCAATGTTATTAATCAGTATTGTTGTTCAAAAATAATTAAACTGTATTGTTTACATTTGTTATTAATAAGTATTGTTGTTCAAAAAAATAGTTTGTTATGATTTGTGTGTCACTGTTAATTCTGTTAAATAAATTTTAAGGTGCAGTTATAATTATAAATAAAATGTTGGGTAACGTATAAGCTAATGTATCATATACATTAAATAATAAATAATTTCAGTAATGTATCATATACATTAAATTATATAACATTTGTTGTATCATATACATTAATTGGTTACTATATCATTTACATTAAAGCATACACAACCTATATGTTAGCAATAAGCTATTATGTGTGATAATTCATATGATACATACATTAAACAATTAAGTTTGTAAACAGTTTATTTAACACAATAACTATGAATCGTGTATTATATATATATATATATATATATATATATATATATTATGTTTCATGTATAATATTAATTATAAATAATGAATCATATAGGTTAAATTTTCAAAAACCTATTTATTAGTAATAGGTTATTATATCTGATTACTTATAAGATACATAATAACAATGAAAACATGTATCAGACACAGTATATGTTATATACTGCACTTTTTCTTTATGTAATGCAATAATGTGTCTGAAATTTAACTTTTTATAAGCAAAGTATATTGGTCCATACAGTATCAAAACACACTAAAACATGAGTGAAATTGTCAAAAGGATAAAAAAAAAATGTTGTCTATGCATAGATACTTAATTACTACACTATGTGAACCAAATCTTCTTCTGGTGGTGGTGTGACTACACCCTTAGGTTTTGGTGGATCATCATTCTCACTAATGTATGTACCCTTAGCCTTCTCGCTGCCATAACTCCACAACAATGCTCTATATCTTTTGCGAAGGTATTCAGGAAGAAAATCAACTAATGATGTTTCGATTTGGTTGCTCAGATACTCCACAAATATAGCAACATATAATCCACAGTCTCTACAAAAATGCAGAATATCAGTTATAAACTTAAATCATACATGGTTCAAAAATAATAAAAGCACAATACTTACAGGCTATCACTTTTTTGTTGCTTAATGTCTTGGGAAAATTCAACCATGAAAGGAACTTGTGCCTCCAAGAGTGAACCAAAATTATTGTCCTTGTACACATCATAAATCACCAAAATTTGTTCACTCAGTTTTTTTAAAGAATCCACTGTCCATGAGGTAAGAAGGAAGCATTTTAGACAACATTTTTATCTTGTGCGAAATTACTTTTTTCCTTGAGCCTAATGAAGAGTCATACACCCTTATCACCCTATTTTTCAATTCAACAACAACTAGCACCCAATGAAATTGTCCACCGCAGTTAACCGAGATGTAAACATCGTCTACAAGATGCCATGGTAAAGCAACTGAAATTTCAAAACCTTTGATGATGTTAGTGATTGACCTCTCATATATAGATATAGCTGAAGCGCGATCAATATGTCCTTGGGTACTAATAAGATCATTATCATTAGCCAAGTAATACCTTTCATATGTATTTTTTATGTGTGAGATGAACAAGCAGTTGGCTGTTGTGTATTGATTCATGCTGCGGAGTTTTGATTTTTTATGGAGGTAGTAAAAAATAACATCGATATGCTATAAAAAACATGATAAACAGAATTATAAACTTGTAAAAAGGTCTAATGATAGAATTGATACATTAAATGATAATCTAAATAAATACTAATTTGATATTTTGATACTTTATTTGAGTGTATCCGGAATGATATTTTGTATCATGTTGTTCTATATCAATGTATCTGATACATGCTTAATAGTTTCATTAAGAACTTTACCTGATCAGTCCAACATTTGTTTGGCTGTGACATGGCATAGAACCAACTCTTGTTAATTGGAAATGCAACAACAAAATCCATCATCTCAAATTCAAAAGAAGAGGCTTTTGATCTCACTACTAAAAAAACAGTGAATACCGACCTAAAAATTTCCGACCTCAAATGGAGGTCGGTATTTACAAGTAGTCGGTTTTTATTCAAAATAAAGAGGGAAAACCAAATTCCGACCTCCGGAGGTCGGAATTTTTCCCGGAAAAAATGAATTACAATAAAAATACCGACCTCAAGAGGTCAGTATATTTTATATTTAATTGAGAAAATAATACCGACATCAAGAGGTCGGTTTTTATTATAATTCATTAAAAATTCCGACCTCAGGAGGTCGGAATTTTTTCTCAATTAAATATTTTATAATTTCGACTTCAGAATGTCGGTAGTATGTAATTAAAATACCGACCTCATGAGGTCGGTATTTTTATTTCATCTAATTACTATTAATTAAAGCGACATCCGGAGGTCGGTATTTTTATTTCATCTAATTACTTTTAAAAGCGACATCCGGAGGTCGGTTTGCGGAAAGCGGGAAAACCAAATTCCGACCTCTGGAGGTCGGAAATTTTCTAGGAAAAAATGAATTACAATAAAAACCGACCTCTTGATATCGGTATTAAAAAAATAAATAAATAACACTATTTTACTTTTTCTCAATAGGTTTTGTGTAAAATAAAAAACAAAAAAAATTATAATACCGACTTCCGTATGTTGGGAAAATTAAATAGTAAAAATAAATTAATATAAAATACCGACCTCATGAGGTCGGTATTTTTTATATTTATTTGAGAAAATAATACCGACATCAAGAGGTCGGTTTTTATTGTATTTCATTAAAAATTCCGACCTCCTGAGGTCGGAATTTTTTCTCAATTAAATATTTCATAATACCGACTTCCGAATGTCGGTAAAAATTAAATAGTATGTAATTAAAATACCGACCTCATGAGGTCGGTATTTTTATTTCGACTATTAATTAAAGCGACATCCGGAGGTCGGTATTTTTATTTCATCTAATTACTTTTAAAAGCGACATCCGGAGGTCGGTTTGCGGTTTCCGGGTAAACCAAATTCCGACCTCAAGAAGTCGGAATTTTTCCCAGAAAATGAATTACAATAAAAACCGACCTCTTGATGTCGGTATTATTTTCTCTTCTGATTTAATTTTTTTTAAATCATTTTCCGGAGGACTATTTTGTGTTCTTAAAATTTAATGTGATATATATATATATATATATATATATATATATAATTTAACTACACATCAACAGAATTTTAATATTTAATAAATTTATATATATATATATATATATACATAGATGTATATATATGTATGTATACATATACATATATTATATATTGATGTGTAGTTTAATTATATATGTTTAATTAATAAAATCAACCTCAAGAGGTGAGTTTATATTAAAATAATTATATATATATATATATATATATATAATTTAACTACACATCAACAGAAGTTTAATTTAATAAATATATATATATATATATCTATATATATATATTATATTTATTTTCTACAAGGGAGTTTATGTATATATTATATTATATTATATTATATTATATATTATATAAACTCCCTTAGAAAATAAATATATATAATATATATATATATATATCTATATATATATATGTAATTTAATAAATTTACATATATATATAGATGTATATATATGTATGTATACATACACATATATTATATGTTGATGTGTAGTTAAATTATATATGTTTAATTAATAAAATTAACCTCAAGAGGTGAGTTTATATTAAAATAATTATATATATATATATTTATATATATATATATATATAAATAACAATATTTTATTTTTTCTCAATAGGTTTTGTGTAAAATAAAAAAGAAAAAAAATTATAATATCGACTTCTGTATGTCGGTAAAATTAAAGAGTAAAAATAAATTAATATAAAATACCGACCTCATGAGGTCGGTATTTTTTATACTTAATTGAGAAAATAATACCGACATCAAGAGGTCGGTTTTTATTTTAATTCATTAAAAATTTCGACCTCAGGAGGTCGGAATTTTTTCTCAATTAAATATTTTATAATTCCGACTTCCGAATGTCGGTAGTATGTAATTAAAATACCGACCTCATGAGGTCGGTATTTTTATTTCTTCAAATTACTATTAATTAAAGTGACATCCGGAGGTCGGTATTTTTATTTCATCTAATTACTATTAATTAAATCGACATCCGGAGGTCGGTATTTTTATTTCATCTAATTACTTTTAAAAGCGACATCCGGAGGTCGGTTTGCGGAAAGCGGGAAAACCAAATTCCGACCTCTGGAGGTCGGAAATTTTCTCGAAAAAAATGAATTACAATAAAAACCGACCTCTTGATGTCGGTATTATTTTCTATTTTGATTTAATTTTATTTATATCGTTTTCCGGAGGACCATTTTGTGTTCTTAAAATTTAATGTGATACATGTGTGTTTAATTAATAAAATCAACCTCAAGAGGTGAGTTTATATTAAAATAAATAAATAAATATATATATATATATATATATATATATAATTTAACTACACATCAACATAATTTTAATATTTAATAAATTTACATATATATATATATATATATATACATAGATGTATATATATGTATGTATGCATATACATATATTATATGTTGATGTGTAGTTAAATTATATATGTTTAATTAATAAAATCAACCTCAAGAGGTGAGTTTATATTAAAATAATTTTTTTTATATATATATATATATATATATAAAATTTAACTACACATCAACAGAAGTTTAATTTAATAAATTTACATATATATATGTATATATTTACATATATATATATATATATATATATACATAGATGTATATATATGTATGTATACATATACATATATTATATGCTGATGTGTAGTTAAATTATATATGTTTAATTAATAAAATTAACCTCAAGAGGTGAGTTTATATTAAAATAATTATATATATATATTTATATATATATATATAAATAACAATATTTTATTTTTTCTCAATAGGTTTTGTGTAAAATAAAAAAGAAAAAAAATTATAATATCGACTTCTGTATGTCGGTAAAATTAAAGAGTAAAAATAAATTAATATAAAATACCGACCTCATGAGGTCGGTATTTTTTATACTTAATTGAGAAAATAATACCGACATCAAGAGGTCGGTTTTTATTATAATTCATTAAAAATTCCTACCTCAGGAGGTCGGAATTTTTTCTCAATTAAATATTTTATAATTCCGACTTCCGAATGTCGGTAGTATGTAATTAAAATACCGACCTCATGAGGTCGGTATTTTTATTTCTTCAAATTACTATTAATTAAAGTGACATCCGGAGGTCGGTATTTTTATTTCATCTAATTACTATTAATTAAATCGACATCCGGAGGTCGGTATTTTTATTTCATCTAATTACTTTTAAAAGAGACATCCGGAGGTCGGTTTCCGGAAAGAGGGAAAACCAAATTCCGACCTCTGGAGGTCGGAAATTTTCTCGGAAAAAATGAATTACAATAAAAACCGACCTCTTGATGTCGGTATTAAAAAAATAAATAAATAACAATATTTTATTTTTTCTCAATAGGTTTTGTGTAAAATAAAAAACAAAAAAAATTATAACACCGACTTCCGTATGTTGGGAAAATTAAATAGTAAAAATAAATTAATATAAAATACCGACCTCATGAGGTCGGTATTTTTTATATTTATTTGAGAAAATAATACCGACATCAAGAGGTCGGTTTTTATTGTAATTCATTAAAAATTCCGACCTCCTGATGTCGGAATTTTTTCTCAATTAAATATTTCATAATACCGACTTCCGAATGTCAGTAAAAATTAAATAGTATGTAATTAAAATACCGACCTCATGAGGTCGGTATTTTTATTTCGACTATTAATTAAAGCGACATCTGGAGGTCGGTATTTTTATTTCATCTAATTACTTTTAAAAGCGACATCCGGAGGTCGGTTTGCGGTTTCCGGGTAAACCAAATTCCGACCTCAAGAAGTCGGAATTTTTCCCAGAAAATGAATTACAATAAAAACCGACCTCTTGATGTCGGTATTATTTTCTCTTTTGATTTTTTTTTTTAAAATCATTTTCCGGAGGACTGTTTTGTGTTCTTAAAATTTAATGTGATATATATATATATATATATATATATCTTTAATCTTAAGCCAGTCAGCTTTAGTCTGTAATTCTCTATATAGATACCAATAATATAATCTTAATTGGTTAGCATAAGAGTAAGAATTTAGATTTAAACAAAGAGGATATCTGTCAAGATGATGTAAGCTGTGGTTGTAAAATTTGTTGTAAAATCCTACTCAGTACTCCCTCTTCCTGTTCCGTTATCTAGTATTAGTAGTTTTTTGTTGCTGAATCCATGTAATTTCTCCCAAAACTTTTTTTTTTTTTTTTTTTTTTTTTTTTTCACTGTTCATCTCTTTACCTTACTCCTTTCATCTCTTTTCCTTACCCATTTTCCTAGCACCTGCTTCTTTAACCACACCCTGGGATTCACAGTCCTTTTGGTTTTCTGACCATGGCGGACTTTCAACATCCCTAGGTATTTACAGGTTAATCTATCGGGGTTACTAAGAGGATAGAGAACTAACCATTTACTAAGAATAAATCAAAGAGTGAACATGTTAACGAAAATCATAATAGCATATCATAATAATATGAACATCATATCACACATAATAACATACACAATAATAACATAGTACATACGCTTAGGGAGAAGATTACTAGGATCTAGAAAACAGATAACTACTTACATGATAATGGTCGGAATGAGGTTTCCCTTTCGGGAGTCCCCGAAGTGACCTTGCAAGTACTTGTAGGAAAATACACTCACACTCTTTGTACACACACAACAAACACTTACTCACTCTTTATTTTGAAAGGGAAGGGGAATATGTAAACTATTACTTAGAAATATTTAAGCTTTTGCTCTCTGCTCTGCACTTCGCTCTGTCTCTTTTC